CCTCATTTCTCTTAGACTCCCTTCATAGCAGGGAGAGCTGCAGGGAGCTCTTAGCAGCCAAAAGCCCCGTCTTAGCCACTCTGCAAAAACATCTCCATGCCCAAAACACGTCTCAAGAGCACTTTTAAGAGAGCAGTTAATATCCAAGCTTATATTTCAGGAGGGGGCAAGGCCCCAGCAAGAAGCACTGACATTGAGCTATGGCTCCAACAGCTGATCGAAACAGTTTAATGCATTTCCATTTCCAGTTGCATGGAGCCAGCAATGTTTCTTACTTATTTACAGTATCCCTCCTCCCCTGCTCCCCGCTCTTGTGTTTGCTACACAGATAACACGGGGAATTGATGCTGACTATTGCCTGTCTGATGTACAGCCGATGGCTTCAGCAGGATTTTAAAGAGGAATGAGTCAACAATGTGTGACCAGGAATAAGATTTGCCAGTGTGTGAGCTTGAATAGGAAAACATATCTGTGCCCACCTGAACATTAGTTAAAGTGACACTGGCAACAGATGCCCCAGCAGGACGTGTTCTGGCAGCCCTCCAGGTCAGGGCAGAGCCAGACCTGCCAGCCACCAGCCCTATAGCAGTGCCTGTGTCTAAGACTGTAAATGGCTCCTGGAGTCCTGATACCCATCCCTCCAAAGGGAATGCCAATCTGCTCTCCTGATTACACCTAACATTCACTATGCTTTGAAGATAAAGCACAATAACCCACCTGCTGCCTAATGTGGCAGAACTTTATCTAAGGGCAGTAAGCGTAGTCCTTTGGAGATCAGTCACAGATGATTGTGGGCTATTACTTTAGATCCAGAAGAGGTAAATTCACAGGCCATGTTATTGCAGAGAAGAAGGTGAATTCCTTTCCTAGTCTTTCTTCCTGCAAAGATTTCACCTGCTGTGTGATCCCAACGTGGGAAACAGGGCCAACTTTCAGGCTTGAATAGTGAAAACAAAGTCAGCCCCATATAACTATTGCCCTTTCCTCCTACTCTTCTTCGGCACTCAGAGACACCAAAACCTCTGCAAAAGACAAAAATGGCAGCAGCAAAAATCTGCTCATCTCATCTTCAGAACTTGGTGAAGTAATTAACAACTCAACAGAGGACACAGGTGCTCTTCTACCAGGTTTTGATGGTTATCTAAAGGGGGAGAAGCCATTCAGATGGTCAGGTGTGGGCCTGAGACAGCACGTAGCGAGTGCTGTGAAGGAAAATAAACTCATCTGCAGAAAAATAGGGGAATAGATGTATCGAGGATCAGGTGGGATGAGGAGTGGAGGGCTGAGCTGGACTTGGATGGAGCTGTGCAGTGGTTTATGAGATGTTGTCCAGGACTGGCAAAGCATCAGAGATGACATGATATTACTCGAGCAGGAAAATGTAGTAAGACTGCAATTTTCACCACACTGTTTTATGAGGCTCTAACAGAGCAAATGTCATATTCACCATTTGTAAGACAATCATCTCAAGGGCTGCCTCTAGCAACAGCCAGAGCTTCAAGTCACTACCAACCTGTGTAATTCCTGCAAATACTGCTTTGAGCAGCCTTTTAGGTTACATGGCTAATACACGTCTTTCAGTTTTTCGTTACATATTTGCTAAATTAATATCTAAGTAGCATCCTTTACACTGATCCACACATGCCTGCTTTCTTTCCTCTTCTCATACACAGCAGCTCAAATGACACTACTGAGTTCCAAAACCCAGACTGCTGCACATTTTCAAGCCCAGTGTGTGTTTCACAGCCTTGGACTAGTTACCCCACAAAGGGTGGCCCAGCTCTGATTTTAAACACACCTCTGCAGAGGATTCATTTTTCTGATGGGATTCTCTGCAAGTACCTGGTCCTGGAAAAACCCCTTGATAACAGTATCAATGATAGCATTGATATTATTAACAGCACTCCCCCACTCCATTAATATTTTTATTTCAAGACTTAGAAGTGCTATGGTTGTTATTTGTTCCACAAATCTTCGATTAGATGGGTCAGTTTTATTCCTGTTTTGAAGGTACAGGAAAAAATGACAAGACATTGCCAATCCAAGTGTAGATTCCCAGGAGTTCTGACAAGCCCAGTCTCTCACTATAACCATTATACAACATTTCTTCATCTTAAACACAGACATATACGGCTGCACAGACTTTCATAAACTTATTAATCTTTCAAAGCTCTACACTACAGACCAAGAAGTCCAGGGAACAGATCATCCATCCTGTCAGAGAGCTGATGATAGACAATTTCAGCTCATAAGCTAACAGAAAAGCAATTTCTTCTGCTTTCTAAATACAAAAATAAAAGCAACTTTTTCTGCTTTCTAAATACAAAACAAAATACTAAAAAGTCCAAACACCTTTTTTTGACAGCTGACTTGTTCTTTTTGTCTTCTTATTCTCCTTCCACAATTGCAGTGCGGTTGGAAAAGCCTATTTCTGGACTAGCTTGTTACAACAGAGCACCATATGCATGAGGATGAAGGGAGAAAACCAAGGGTGAAGGGAAACACAGAAACCGGTTCTGACATCCAATCAGATCTGCTGTATTGATTTCGCGACTTTGGCTCTGGAGCAGATCAGAGGAGCAGCCCGATTCCCGCGCGGCTCCCGGCGCGCTCCCGCGTCCGCGCACACGCGCCGGCTGATGCGCGCACACGCGCGGCCCCGCGGGGAGCGCCCCTCCGCAGGGATGCGACGCCTGCGCCCAGCGGGAGAAGCTCTCATCACCGAGGCAGCAGGAGCCACACGATCCGCATTTCCAGCAAGATGAGAATTCCAGAGCGAGCCGCCGAACTAATGAGCTGCCCACGCTGGAAAGCTGTGTTTCAATTAAGCACAGCAGCCCCTGCTGCACCCACATCCTCCCAGCGGCATGGACAAGGAGGACAGGGATAAACGGGGACTGTGTTGTTTCTGGGTCTGCTTTATGCATGAAGGGAAAGGGAGGAGGTGTAAAAGGGATGAGGGCAATTCTTGCCCTATTTTCTTGGTTTCTTCCATTTTCATACTAATGCAAGGAGCAATTGACAGCACTGAAACCCCAGCTGCCTGCTGAGGCACAGAACAGGCAGTGCCACCATGAAGTCTTTCCATGTTTTCCAGGCAGGAGGAGACAGCTCAGGTGTACAAACACTCAGTATGCACCCAGCTTCCACTAAGGTACACATAACAGATTGACAAGGGAAGGGGGCTGTTTGGGTGGGCTGGCCTGTGGACTATATGACCATTACTTGGACAAAATCACAATAAAGTGTTGCTTGGCCATGGGATGAGGTGTAGGAAAAGTGTGTTCAGCTACCCTTTACACACACGTTCATTGCATCTTTGCTTTCTTGAGGGTCACATCATAGTCCCCACCCCAGATAGCTTCTGTTTGCACCTACCATCTTTCTTATGTGGGGAATCATGTCCTATCCCTTCAGCCCAAGATTCGGGTCTGTGATCCCCCACCAGACCACCCAGTATTAGTGAATTCATCCCAAGCTCAGCACTGCTGCTCCCTCTGCAGGGGCAGGGAGGGTCAAGCAAGGTCCACACAGCTCTACAGCTTTCAAACACCCACACCAAACTGGGGACACCAGCCAGTGTGATGGTTCTTGGCTCCCAAGTGAAATTTTGCTGTATCTGTCATTGTCTCTTGGTGTGACCAAAAGTCACCTTCCCTGCCATGTCCTTCCAAGTCCAGTATGATTGAACCAGGCTGTCTTCCTCAACAGCTCAAATCAGGATTCCCATTTTCACCCTGCTTAAGGGAAGCTTCTCCACATGTACTTACCAGCATGGAAATCTTCACATATTTCCCTATCTCATCCTGTAATCTAAACCTGCAAGGCTCCTGAATAGACAGAGATAATTTTGAAAGGGGCTCTTCAAATACCCAAAGTGCCTGCAGGATTTCACACACCTCTGATATTGCTGTGCTCCCAGCAGCTCACATCTGTGAGCAGTTTGTCTGGTTGGCTTCAGCCAGGTTGTCTGCTCCGGTCTCACTTCTCCTATTCCCGGGGAGCGAGGCTGGGAGAAGTGTGGCAGCATGTCTAATGAGTGCTGCTGTGCTGTGTCTGGAGGCTTGTCACTCACAGCTCACAGGCAGCATGCCCAGGTGTAAATTAACCTGTTCCCTGCCTGCCCCACACCTGCCAGATCTGTGCTGCTCACAGCACTCTGCCAGTGCTCAGCAATCACACTGCACTAATGGGACAGGATCTGCAGGGAGAGCCAAGGCATTTTATCTGGCTGCCTTCCCCCAATCTGATTTCAAGCCTTGTAAGAGAGAGAGAGCACAGACTGCTGCATGTCAAAACACACCTCAACAGCTGAGGGAGCTGAGCAGGCTCTCACTTCTCTGGAGGGAGAATCCACTGCAGGGAAAGGATGGAGATGTCACCCAATGCAGCGTGCCACCCTCCATGTTCACCTCTGTGTACAGATACTGCCTTTAAGTGGGGCTGGGAGAACCATAGCCAAAATCACCCCACACACCTGCTAAGTATCAGCTTCCTGTTACTCACAGCCTAGCTGTATGAAAACCATTTGGGAGTACAGATTCCCTGTCACCTATCCCTGCTTTTCAGGCAAAATGATTCAGGCATATCCAGGGGTAACTAAGTTGAAGAAAGCGTTGTGGTGTGGAAATGATCTAAATAACATTCATTTTCCACCTTTTGAGTTCTTGACTTTACAAACTTACTAGCATACCCTGAAGGTATTTTACACACATGTAATGCACATAAACACACCCGGTAAAGATGCACTCATCCCCTGACATGGAAATAGAAACCCTTGTACACAAATACACACCTCTCCCTTCCACTTGCTTGCCTTATGGTACCCTGCCCTTAGCCTCATGTAGCCTGACCAATTAAATATAAACTGTTCAAAGGTCCCCAGACAAAAGAGATGTGTCTGCTCAGCCCAGTAAGAAAGGTCAACCCTGTCTAGCCTCCAGGCTTTTGTGTACACAGGCATTCAGGCAGGCACTCCAGCGCTGCATGGCTGTACTCACACTGCACGTTGAGCTGCACCAGGGCTTCCCGGGGTCTGATGTTAAATCCATTGTACCTGGCTGTCTGACACTTATAGGTCCCACTCATTTCTCGGCTCACGCTCTCCAGGTGCAGCTTCCCATCGTAGGTCTCCATTGTCATTGTCCCTGAAGGCATGGGGGTTTCCTTGTCCACCCGGGACCAGAGGATGGGTGGCTTGGGCTTTCCTCGAACCTCGCACTGCAGCTCGGCCCTGGAGCCTTCCCGCACAGTGATGGCAGACTGACCCTTGGGGACACTTATTGTTGGTGGCACTGAAAGAGAGACAAGAAAGGAATCATTTTACACTGCATCTTCAGCAAGGAAGGAATAGTCTCAAGATGCTTCTGATGAAATCACAGCAACAGCCTTGAATCCCAAAGGTTTCCGCTCGACACGCTGCAGCCCTTCTATGAACACAATGTCCATGCAAGTTATCCTGCAGGGTCTGGAGCTTCAGGGCACCAAGGAGGATTCAGCCTTTCCAGCAGTGTCCCCCAATATCACTGCCAAGGGCCAGGAGTATTGGGGCAGACTCCAGGCTCCCATCCCTCTGTTTGCAAAATGCTATCCAGCTGCAGGGATAGCATTAAGGAACACAAAGGTAAAAGCCTCTTTGATCCATTTCTCAATTTCTGGTCAGTGAATTTCTCAAGTGGAACTGCAGTCTTTTGGCCAAAAATAGAAGTCATATTTGATAGTCTAGGTATCTAGACACCTTATCCAGGTCAGACCAAAATCAAGACTTAAAGGATAAGTGCTTGCAGATCTCCTCTCCAGCCTTCTCAGAGGTCCAAGATCCCTGTTTGTTCCTAAACCACAGCAAGGAATCAGCTCTTTTCAAGCGTCTTTGCTTATTTTACTTTTATTGCATATTTTACTTTTATTATTTATTTTGTTTTTATTGGTGAATGCACTGTGAAATTCTCACACCAACAGACCTCTGGTTCATCTGAGTGAGAGATGTGTCCCAGCAACAATCACTCCTGGCATCCCTTCGAGGCTGGGAAGAGCTCATCCACCAGAATTGCTGCCTAGCTGAGGCTAGAGCTGGAGGCACCGTAACACTCAAAAGAAATATCCAGCCATCAACTGACAACCAAAACTTTGCTGATAAACAAAGCTTAAAAGAAATCCATTGAATACAAGGTACAGAGATGTCAGTGGGAAGAGGTTGGCTGTTCACATCCCCAAGATGTTCACATTCCACCAAGAACCCAGGAAGGGGATTTTTGTGCTAAACCACACATAATATTGACAATTTATTTGAGCTAGACTTCAGAGTCAACAGTTCAGCTGAGGTAAATATGGTCACAATCTTTTCTGAAAGCTCCTTTTTCAGCCCTTCCTGCTGACAGTGGCAACATTTGGATTGACACTTCCATAACTGCAAGGGCCATGTACTTCGTTTCCATTTAAATCAAAGTACAGGACTACAGAAGCTGTAAAAAGCTGGTCTGACCAACATTAGCTCAATTCAGCTCCAGCAAAGGAGAGTATGCTATGGTAATTGTACGTGTTACAGCCTGCAGCTCTTTATGAACAAATTTAGGATGGATCCAGCCTAATCTCCCTCTGCAATGACCTCCCTATGCAACACGGAGGGCACATTTTCAATTTGCAGGTCTCCCGTGGGCTGGGGAATCTCATCACACCCTGTCCTGCACAGTGTGAAAGGACGGCAGCACTCTCAGAGCTAACGCTGCCAGCAGCTGCTCACCTGGTGAGTGGCAATTTTCTCCACAGGTAAAGTTGTAAATTGCATTTGAAGATTTTTTTTTTTAATTAAAGCTATCACCTTGGAGCTGCTCAGTGGAGGCAGCCACTTTGATGAGCTCAGGCTTTGCTCAGTGGGGAAACATGGAGCCACTGCTGCTGTCCTCTTGCTCATCTTGTGGAGCAAGGTGTTTTATGTGGGAATCACATATTGGGAATCACATGTTGGGAATCACATGCTGGAGGTGGCTTGTTGCTGATTATGGGGATGTTGCATGTGGGACAGCCCCGGCTGCTGCATGGAGGACTGCTCCAGCAGGGATGGCTGTTTTCATTTCCTGGGACACAAAGCAGTCCTGCTGGCCCAGGCTGCCACAGAGAGGCTCCAAAATGCCCCAGGCCGCCCTCCTTCCCTTCATCATTGGCAGCATCCACATGGGCATATGAGACTCACTCTCCTCCAGACAGGCACAGGGCAACCTGTCACCACAGACACCTCCTTTAAGACAGCAACTGGCTGGTGCTTGGACCAATACCTGCACTGTCAGACACTGCCAAGCCTCTTGGTGGAATCATCCCAGGTGTCCCAGCTCTTCACAGCCTCCCACCCTTGCAGTGTTAAACACAACTGCACTCTGCCATCTAGTGATCTTGGGCAAAAATAATTGTTCCAGGTGGTATCAGCCATACAAGTTTGGGAAAGCCAATTTTGCACCAGGATTGGCGAGTTCTCCCAGTTTTGTTCCCTGTTGGTGTAACAGGGTTGGTGTTGGCTGGCATGGAGAGGTCCTGCCTTCCATGGCTGTCCACAAAGGAAAGATCATTCTTCAGTGTTGAGTGGATCCATGGCACAGCCAGAGCTCAGTCTCCAGGCTGCCAACAAGAGCTGGATGCAATCCTATCAGGAGCAGGTTGCCCCCAGAATTTCTAATGGGAGACAAGGGCTTCCCAAAGCACCAAGAGTAGTTGCAGCACTTTTTTCTGGGGAGTTGAAGTGAGCAGCATCCAGAATAAAGAGTGAGATCAGCCTGGCCTGTGGATCCAGCACAACCAGGGACTGAGAAGTAACATTCTGTGAAGGTGCAGGTCAAAATCTGTGGGCAGCTGACTCCCCTGAGGAGTCTTCCATCAGATTACTAACACAATATTTCTTTGTGCTGCACCCTCATGGTCCTGGAAAGGCAGCACAATGACATGGATGAAATGGAGAGCACAGCAGGACCCACCACTTCTACAGAAAGAGAAAGACAGCCCTGAGACTCTATATTTTAGTCCCCAGCATGACTGACAAACACTGACATATTTGTCCAGTCCTCACTGGGCCATGGGGTGAAGCTCTGACCCTGATTTTAGGGGGGAGGCATTTATGACACTGACACTCCTCCAGAGAGGGCCCAAGGCAGACTGCATTTGCCATCCAGCAAACATTAAAAGTCTTCACAGAAACTGTATCCTGGAAACAATGCCAAAGAAAAGAAAGAGCAGCTTTTTTTCTCTTTTACTCACTTCTAAGCAAAGGGACACTCTAAAATTGCTGAAATACCACCACTTCTTCCTTCCTTCACAGTGTGGAGGTTTGTTTGAACAATCACACTGTAAAGCTGCCTCTGTAGCTGGAGTGCATTTTGGACTTTTCATAGGGAGAAAACATAAAGGAAGATCTACTTGGTACATAATACATCTGACAAAGAAGTTGTAACTATTACCCATCTCCAATCTGAGCCAAGTGCTTTCCTGAGGATGTAAGACCCTTCTCCACTAGCATTCAAGACATGCATGTGAAGTTCTTCAAAAAAGCCAGAGGCAGAAGCTGTGGGGCAGCCAGTGATGCCAAACACTCCTCTGGGGTCCCCCCTGCCAGAGAGAGGCTCACCTGTCTCTGAGGAGATGTTCACCTCCACACTGAGGTCAGGAATGGGTGCTCCCTGGAAGGTAGCCACGCACAGGTAGGTGCCATAGTCACTGAATCTCAGGTCAATAATCTCCAAGCTGCACGTCACAGGTGGGAGCTCGGGGTCATTGCGGGTGATGAGCAGCCGGTCTGAGAACCTGGCTGGTTTTCCATTCTTGTACCATGAGTAGACAACCTTCTCCTGGGGCACAGCATCTACATGGCATGAGAGCTTCAAGTCCTGGCCTAACTGGATGGTCTCACTCTCTTTGATCACATCAGGAGTGATTTGGAATGTGGCATTCTTCATGGCTGAGATGAACAGAAGTGCAAAACTGGTTAGGGATATCAAAGTATCCTGCATGGGACAGGAAAGCTGTTCTTTGCTCCTCAGAAAGGCAATATTTCCATGCAAAATCTGCCCAAAGACCTCTCCCACTTACGTTCCCACAAAATGTCCCAAGGGCCTCCCATCTGGCACTCTGGGCTCATCCAATTCAGGATAATGCTACAGCCCAGGATGAAGCTGCAAGCAGCGCTTGCACAGCTGTTGGTCTGGGAGCAGAGAAACTTGCACAGGCGCTTCTCCAGAATATTAATTACTACTAAATATCACATTCGCCCTGAGCTGTACAAGAACAGCCAGGAGGAATGCAATTCCCCCATCCCTGAAAACACACGCTCAGAGAGAAGCAGCAGCTTACACCGCACCAGCAGGTTCACAATCTTCTTTGCCGGGTTGCCCACGTTGTTGATGGCCGTGCAGTTGTAGTAGCCTGAGTCCTCCACACGGATCCTCCAGATGGTGAGGTTGCCTCCTTGCACGAGGCTGTTGGGAGGCATGGGGCCAGGAGAGTGGGACCAAAGCACTTCTGGCTGTGGGTCACCGCCCGTCAGAGAGCACTGCATGGTGATGTTGTCACCAGGGTTGACCACCAGCGTCTCATTGACAGACAGCTTCAGAGCAGGTGGGGCTGGAAAAGCACAAAGAGGGACACTTCAGAGCTTGAGAATGACCCATCCACCTGCCTGTGCACAGCTTCATACTTTTAATGATTTGTTCTTGTTGATGGCTGGTTTGAGTAGGGACAGCTGGAAAGATCTATGAATTGACTACAAATATAATCAATCTAAAGTATGATCATTATCACATCTTTGAATAAGAGCACTCTGCTCTTTTATGGCTAGGAAACAGAGCAGGCAGGACCTCACACTGCCCCACAAAACACTCTACCAGTAGTGCTTAGGACTGGGGCACAAAGCAGCTATGACATTTTATCAGCGCTCAGTGCAGGTTCTCTATGGCTTTAGGATGCAAGTCAGAAGAAAAGCCCAATAAACCCACTCTACACATAAAGGGGTGGCAAACAGTCAACATTTGGCAGTGAAAACCCAAGGCCTGAAGTTTCAGGCCACTGAACAACTGCAGCCAGGCCTAAGGGCAATGGAAACCTTTGTAGCCTTGATGGAGAGGAGAAGGAGAAAGTACAGCCTCAAAGGAGCCTGCTTGAACCCAACCACTGCTTGTGCTCAAGGACAGCTGGCACTAAACCACTCCTCTGATTCAGAGTTTCCATCCCAAGGAGTGAGCTTTAGGGAAGGTCTATCATTAAAAAAAGCTTTCTTCAGCTATCCCATGACACAACTCTCTATCTCTCACACCCAACTGGACATCTTTGAGAGGCAAAGGCTTTGCCAAGCAGATAGTCCTTGCAGCTTGGAGACTGATATGGAGGACCAGGACCTGTCTGCACCTTAACAGACCATTAACAGCAGCTCTGACCTGGCTCTTAATCTCCTTCACCTCCTCAGGTGTTTAATATGCTTTTCTGTACACCTGGGGGCCATCACAACCAGAGCAATTCTCCTTCACATTCAGATGAGTTGAGACTGATTCAAAGTGTCTACACAACCTCTCCTTTGAATGCCTTGGCGCCTGTTTGTTAGGTTTTATTTTATTTCTCACTACAGCCTCCTCTAGGAACTGATCCAAAAATCCTTCCCTTTGTATTCTCCATTTCATTCCATGAAAAGTCTTTCAAAGCCTCTATGAGCACATCACTGGCTCCATCCAGACAGAGCTGAGAAAGTAGCAGTCCCCAGCAAAAAAGCTGGGAGTATGTTTTAAGTAACGGCCATAATAATGCAAAATAAGACATTGTTCCATATTCATGAAGCCTGATTTAACAGCATCATTATTTCTGCCTCTTCTCTCCCTGGACCCTGTGTTAATGAGCTGTGCTGGATTTGTGTTGGATCTCTGAATTACAGCCCATACAAACAAGGCAAGGAGGACTCTCCTCTCCTCAGCACCGGTGCCATAATTTAGTGGCACAACTACTGCCATGCTGGGATATTGCTTTGGTGTACTGAATATAATGTCCTCCCTGGCCATTGCACATACTATTTGTGTCAGAGGTGGCCAGCCATGCCTAAGGAAGAAGGTGGCTCTTCTGCTACCTCCACTGGCCATTTTGAGGCCAGTGGTTGGAGACTTTGAATTTCGGGAGGCCACAGCCTGCACTCAAACAGACTTTGTCAGGTCTCTTTGCAGGAGTCTTGTAAATAGTGTGCAAGGGTTAATGCTTATTAAATAGCAAAGGAAGGATTTGTACTTCCTCACCAAGCTCCAGATGGTTTCATGAGATAGTATGAAGCCCATAAACACAATAGCTCAACTCACCGTGGTTGGGCAGGTCACATTCCTGTCACTAACTCAGTGTGGCTGACACCAAATAGCTGTTTCTGCCCTTGGACATTGAATTGGTCTCAGGTTCACAGTGCACAGACAAACTGGCAGATGCAGCATCTTGCCTGGGAATCTCCATCCATCCCTGTCAGAGACAGAGAAAGCCTGAGACCAGCCCATGTCCAGAGAGAAGGTGTCAGAGTTGGGGAGCACAAACCAGAGGTCCTGCAGGCTCTGGTTAAGATTTAGGGCTCTTGCAGGTTTGAGATTGGATATGCAAATATCTGACCCACACTCATCTTGCCCAGCTCTGGGCAAGGCAACATGTTAAAAAGGTAACATGCAAGCACTGCATGAGGGCAGGCTGTGTGTGCATGCATGAACGAGGCAGGGACACTGCAAATCCGCCACCTGCCACAGCTGCAGGAGGCGAGCTCCCACGACATGCCCCAGGATGGAGCCTCGGCTGTGGCAGCCTGCGTGGGCTGCCACTCCCCACTCCCACTCCCGACAGAGGTTAACAGACTGCAGACATTGTTATGCAGGAGATGATTCTCATTTATTTGTAACCTGTGGCCATTCCTTTTGTTCTTGGCTCAGAAAACCTGCTGGCGGAGTCTGCCGAGCAGCGAGGGACCATTAAAAACAAAGAATCGCTTTCAATTCCCTTTGAAGTCCAATTTGCTGCAGTAAAACTGCAGGAGAATTAACCAGCTGGGCTGGTTAATATTGCAGAAATTGAGGAAGAGGGAAAAGTCAGGCTGCCCCTGCTGTAGCGGGTGATGGCAGCCTGGTGCTGAGCTGGTCCTGTGGCTCTGTGGACCCAACCTGCTGCTCTGGAGCCAGGCAACAGCAGCAGAACAGAGAGGGAGCAGGGACATCTCCTTCCCACCAAGGCTGCAGACAAACAACCCATTCCCTGCTGCGAGGCCAAGTTGCTAGGCAGAGCTTAGGAGAAGTCCATCTCCTTACCAGAGACTATGATCTGCCCAAAGGACACTGAGGAGCCAGCTGAGGAACAGCAAATGAGCTGAGGAGATTCCCCTGGCCTGACCTGACCTGACCCACCAATTCACCTCACGGCCTGTAGTGCCTGGACTATAAATATTTAAGAAAGAGAAATTTCCAAGCATTTCAGCATCCTTTGGACCCTTCTCAGTTATAAAGGCAAAGGAATCCTGAGTGAAGCTGCTCAGGATTCTGGGCACAGCCAGGTCTAGAGAAACTGTGAAAGCACAAGCACAAGGGGAAGAGAAAAGACCTAGGCAAAATAGGAGAGAATTAAAGAATTTCATTTAAATATTTCCTCACCTATGCACAATACTACCTACAGGGCAAGTAACTCATATAATATTTCATGTTAAATATAGCCATGCTATTTAACATAAACCCTGCTCCCACCGCAATGCCAGCTTCATTTTCACTGCCAACTTTTAATACAATTTGCTAAGAACACATTTTCCATGGCCCCTTTGAGCTTGTAGTGCCAGGCTCCACAGTAACTATGTATAAATATGCATTTATAATTAAAAACAGGAGAAAAAAACCCTAGATAGATGTGCTTAAGAAACTGGTGTAAATTGAGCCATATCACTGACAAGTACTATCAAGTTGTACTATCAAGTACAACCTGAAAAGACATTTTCCCCATGACAGGGGATGGACTGAAATAAGGAGTAGTTTCCCTGTGCTTGGGCTGGCAGGGGGAGCGGACATAAAGAGAAATTTGATTTTCTAACTCTTCAAAGGTAAAGGTACACAGGGAAGAAGAGCTGTATAAGATCCCTTCCTTCATCATGAACAGAAGATAAGTTTTTAGAGGGAATATTTCAACATTTTTTTACACTCTCATCCTGAGAGAAATTCAGATAATAAGGTGAGTTGTTCGAGACATGTTTAGAAATCTTACTACAAAGAGAATACTTTTTTTCTGACATTAGCTATAATTCGCTTTCTTAAGCTCATTATTTTTCTTCTTCCTACATAAAATGAGAAACTATTGTTCAGCACCTTGGAACTCAACTCAGATCAATAAACATAATTTAAAAAATATCCACAGTATCCTGTCAACAGTTAACAACATCAAAAAAAGTTCTGTTTCCACTGCACAAAGATGACACAGGGGATGCAAACTGCTTTGTGTTACATTAGAGAGGTGAATAATTCAAACAGTTACAATGCCTTTCTCTCTGATCATGGAATACGCCAGGGCTGGAAGCAATTTCCTGACATTTACTTATTATTTGCAAATATTCAACACACATGAGGGCTTTATGGGTGGGGATTTTTTTATCGTGTGTGTAGTTTTGGTTTGGGTTTTTTTAATGGACAGGTTGCAATCCAGTCATTGCCAGTATTTGTATATGACACTCAGTTTTCGTTCACTTATTGCACGTCAAGCAAGAGGCACCAAAGTGAATCTGCTCACAACTGGAGATGCCCTCAAGCACTGCCAGTACAAATATGAGTGTAAAATGTATTTATTGGGAAGGCACTGGAGATGTATTCTTTCCACAAACACTGGCACCAGCAGAGCTCGTTACCTGGGAGGTGCCTAGAGCACAGCCTGGCAAACCAGGCTGGAGTCACACATGGATGAATTATTTGTAAGAACTCCTGCAGCACTGCCCCACTCTAGGCTGTATCAAATCTATTTTTAAAGTCACTTAGAATTATAAATAAATAAAACAGTGTATGAATTAGAAGCTACATAGTGCCTCAACACCTACACGTAGTCTGTTTTAATGATCTCATGGCAGGCCTGGCCACATGCAGTGCTAAGAAACTAGAGCAGGCCTGGCCACAAGACTTCCATGGGAAGGATCTGTAATCCCAGCAGCCATGTCAATGAGGTCGGGGTGCTGCAGGCCCTGGACAGAGTGCTGGGTTATCCTGCTGGAGGGGTAATGGCTGTTGAGGAAGTCAAGGGTCAGAGGGCTGCAGGGACCCTTCCTGTCCCCTCTTACCTGTGGTGTTTGTGAGCTGGAAGGTGATGGATTTGTCAGGAATACTGCAGACATTGCGGACAGACACCTGGCACGTGTAGCTGGCATAATCCTGAGGTCGAAGGTTCTTCAGCTTCAGGACTTTGGTTTCACCCTGGGATTTGGGAAAAATAGGGGAAAAAATAGGGAAAAAAAGACACAGGTGTCCAAAGCACAGATCATCAGTCCAAGCCCGTATCCTGTCCCAAAATTTACCGATTACCAGCAGCTCCCATGAAAACCTTAGGGAACTGTGCAGATTTCAAGCACCCCATAGCTCTATGTAAAGGAGACACAAAACGTTTGCAGTGGTCATTTCACCTCCAGGGTTTCACAAAACACCCAGCAACTGACTGACATGACCTGAGAGCACTGCCAAACAGGTCTGGGCATAATTTCTCTTTAATTACTGCCAGAAACATCGTGTAGAACATGACAAACCTTAACCACCCCAGAACAGACCCTGAGATCTAACTCCGATATGTCAGTAGGAACCCAAAGGAAGTCACTGGGGACTCAACATTGCCATACCAAAGTAAATCAGAGCAGACTGAGGCACAAATACTGGCCTAAATATGACAAATTAACAGTTGTGCTCTAGAAATCTGCAGTACAGGAGAAAAAAAAAATTCAGAGAAATACTCAAAGAACTTCCAAAACTTTCTGATGCCTCCTCTCCAGATTCTAATCTCATTTATGCTGATGTACATCCAGAGTGACTGCAGAGAGTTTGATAGCCTTTTCTCATTCTAAGGTAACAAATAAAATCACTGCCTGCACTCCATTAGTTACTGGCTTGTTATAGAAACAGAACCAAGTTGTTACATTAATGACAGACGTGTTCTGTAGACTTTTATTTATGGAATGCAGAAAGCTCTGAGAATCATCCTATGGTCTGCACACCCTGCAACTCATATGTCTTCTGCTGACAGCTTGTTGCTGTTGTTCTCCTTGAGTTTGTCTAAATCTCTTTTGGAGAAACCATTCCATAACCGCCCGCAAGTGTGAGAAGGTGTCAGCATGACAAATCCTCAAGAGAACAACCTCAAGGGACTGGACAATGAGCTCAGGAATGCTAATATGCAGAGAACAAGGACGTGGAGTGAGTAAATTAGAATGAAAAAACCCAGGGTACCAGTAACCCAAGAGAGTCCTGTCCCCTGAGAATTGTTGCTATGCCACACAAATGATGGCATTTACAATATGTGTGTCATCTACATACTGACAGGGTCATATGTATCTCCTGTTTATTGATTAGTGAATTTAGGTACATGGGTATAAGCCCTCAGTGTCAGTAAGTTTTAAAAAGCTTAAATATTGAAATCTTCACCTCATTTTTAATGTAAAATCCTATTCAAACATGACACTGATAGAGGTTCATCTTTAAGACAACACTGCAAACTCCAGTGAAGGGTACTTTGTTGAACATTCCAGCCAGATTTCCCCTTCCAACAGTGCTGCAGAGATGTGTTTTTGTTAACTTCAACTCTTACCAACCCAAACGTACAGGCCTATGCTGGTGTTAAGGAGAGGACCGCAAGGGCATGCCTGTCTGAGCACAGCAGTCCCAACACCCTCCTTCAGAGCTGGGAATGACCCATCATGTCAGGAGCACTGCCTGACAGGAGCTGCAGCACGCTGCGCCATTTAAACATTAATGCTGCAACATGGTGAATTTTTGCCAGATGCCTTATTTAGCTAGAGAAAATATCCCAAGTCCTAAGATATCCTCTCATTAGGCAACATCTCCTGTTAATTACACTGAGCCTAGTGAAAACTGGAAGAGCCCATGGTGGCTTCCTCCAAGGCCAGGGATGTCCTAGTTGGGAGGCACACAGCACAGAGACAAAGCTGTCTTCAGGGCCAAACAACAGCTCTGACCTACAGTGTTTCTGCAAATCTGCCACTAACCTGCAGCTCTCTCCTCCCTCCTCATCCCCCTGAATATTTCCATTTGGATGCCCATTTCCACGACCTACAGAGATGGCGTGTTTCAATAAAATATGAACATGACTACATTAACTTAAAGGTTGCCTGGAGCATTGCTCAGAAATCAAACTCAGCCAGAATATGCTCTGGGCCCAGCTTTGGGAATGCAGGAAGGTGCTTGGGATGAAACAGGAGCCCTGGAGAGCTGCCCTTTCAGCCCTCCCTTCCCACTCATCCCTGCTATGTGCTCCCTAGCAGCCTTGCTGGCAGTACTGGGGCTGATTAGTGTCTAAAGTACGTTCAGCTCCTGAGCTCAGCTCAGGGTAATGTGCTCAGAGTGCCCTGGCAAAAGTTCCCTTCCATCTCCCATTGCATTGGCTGACTAATTACTGTGAAGAAAGTGGTGTTTACAGGGGAAACCTGGATGTGCAGGGCAAGTCCAACACAGGCAGGCAGGAGAAGGAGAAAAGACATGGACACCTTGTCCCAGGACAAATCAGGAAGTGCCCAGGCATTGGGCTCCCCATTATTGTGGCCATTAGAAAAACTCATGGATCCCACAGCAATGCCTGCCATTTGCTCACACTGCTAAACAGGAAGCCCTTCCCTGATATATGGAGCCTGGGCCCTCAATTAAGGAAAAAAAATTAGCAATGGGAGATAGAGAAAATCCTATCTTCGGATTTTTTGGATTTTAGTCTCAGCCATCCAACAGCTGCATAGCCTTAGTAGAGGAACTGTGTCACTGCTCTCAGGGACAGTGATAAAAAGGGAAAGGTCCTCCTAGGCCACACTCCCTCCTACTGCTCTGCTCCTCTTGCACCCTGGGAATTTGCATGCAGAAGGAAGGTCTATCTGCCCTTCTGGAGGCAGCCTTCACCTTCTCCCCAGTATCACAATCCATGTGGGGAAGGAAACACCACCCACCAAAGTGCCCTGCATCAGCAAGACACTCAAGACAAGCTGGCAGAGGTTTGCTTATTTTCACCTGTGTGTAAAGGGGCTCGTAGATGTCCACCCCATTGTCCTGATTGTGAGAAAGTGTCTCAGCTCCCCGTTTCCAGATGAAGCGAGCGGGCGGGTTGGAGTTGACCGTGCAGCGTAGGAAGACGGTCTTCTCCTGGTAGAAGCTGCCCCGCACATCACTGATGGTCTGGTGAACGGTGAGAACAGGCTCATCCAGATCTGCAGGGGAGGCAAGGAGGGTCGCAGCCGCTGTTAGCAAAGCCTGGTCTGCAGGCACAACCTGCAGGGCAGATGCTGCTCCAGGTACCACTGAGGAGAGGGGAAGGTCTCACACACCTGGCTGATGACAACTGCTGATTTAAGAGTAGTTTTACTACCTGAGGGCAGGTAGTACAACCAATATATAAAGGGAACACACAGGAGAAGCCAGAATTCTCCCGCTCACCACACAAACCTTCAGGGAATAGAAAGCAGTCTCTGGTTTGCAGAGCCGCATGCAGTCCTCAGAAAAACCCACCTGCCTGCCACATGTGTCTCAGAGCAGTGGGCTGCCTCATATTCCTCAATGGTACCCCCCTACAGAAAATCACTACTTTCTGCTTCAGTGAGAGGATCCCAGGAAACTCTGTTCCATCATTTCTCCATCTTCTAGCTCCCAAATCTCTCCTGAAATCATGGGGCTAAGCCCAGGGCTGTAAGATGTCCATACAAATGACATGACAAACCTCCAAGACAAGGAATGAAAGTAAAAAAATCAGGACAAAATCAAGGAGCTGAGTTGGAAAGTCATCTAGACAGAGCAAATCTTGTGAGGAGTCATGGTAATATGCGATGCAAAACACTGTAATAGGTATGCATAATTTTTCTCTCTTCCTATTAAATATCCTCTGTGTATTTTCTTCAAAGTCTGTATCAACTGTCCTTTGGCAACTTCTAGTCACGGCAACACTATTATCTCTCCCTAAACTGATCAGATTCCTTTGTTCTCTTTCTTTACAGAAGATATTCCTTTCAATTCCCTTACTGTACTTGCACCAGACACACAGCCACCATGACTGCATCAATGGTTATCAGTGGCTATATTTTCAAGGACAGAAGCAATAACCCTGCAGGAAGAGGATTTTCTCCATCCATACAGAGCATACTGCCCCACTACAGTTGCCCACCTGCTAAAAAGGGATTATTTTCTCAGAAGTTGCAGCAGATATCAATGTTTGAACATCAAGGTAGCATGGGGGACACTTCAGAGGCAGTGGATCTTTCTCCTCACAAAAGCACTGAGACTGAGGTTAAATGTAAATATCCCTTTTGACATGAATTGGCCCTCTAAAATGGGAATCAGTCCCCGTGTCTTTAAATATGTCTATAAGGCACCTTTTGAGCTCAAGTTGAAGCAATTCTACATTTTCAGGAGCATTATGACGCCATCTTCAGCTGCAAGGAAACTGAGGTACTTGTACCCTGTATCCTCTTGTGCTGCCAGCACAATCCTCTCTGCACATGCTTCACAGGCTCATCGCCTCCTGCCCTCCCATGCCACCTAATTTTCACAATATTTTATTTTACAGATTTGTAAGTTTGGAGATCTGACTTCCAGAAAGGAAGAGGGAAGCAGGGATGAGTTTCTGCTAACATGTCATCCAAACAACGTATGCTCTCTGCTGAATCACAAGTGTCAACTTGTGGGTTTGCATCTTTTAATGAGCAGTATGCTCGGCAGACAGCAATTGTTATGCGACCTGAAATTTGTCTGCTTGACCATAGTGCAGAGATATGAGTAGAGCCATTAATAGAATAATGACCAGACACAAAATATATCCCATAAAAAACTCCACCAACCAAAAAAACACCCACGGCTGAAGAAAAACATATGCAGATGGGAAAAAAAACCTCCTCTCCATACAGTGCTGTCTTCATGTGGCCACAGGATAACCGAACATCAAATTCTTTTGGACCAGGACCTTGAGCACAATCTCTCCTCTTTTCCTCCTTCCTTGTCTTTAACCTTACTTTATTTGTTCAAACTTCAGGAGTGACTCTGTAGTTATCATCCTTCTGAGATTGTTTCTCGGTAAACACTTGCCTTACTAACTGAAGAAGCAGCTCACCATTCCAATCTCCTGGCTCCCATCTGCTCCCCACACAGAAAAAAAATCTTCTTTTTGGTTACTAAAACTTTCCTCCTTTGAATTCTTCAGCGCTCTTTTGCAGAAGTCAGCTCTAGGTCTAGCCCTTCTGAGAAAAGCTAAAATAAGTCCTACAACAATGGGTATGTCCTTGATGTACAAGTAATGCCACTGATGTCAGTGAGCTGCTCCAATGATAAATTTGGCCCAAGGCTGTTCATGGAGATGATCACATGGGACGTTTCATGCACAATAAAAGCTTGTAAACATTCATTCTTTTCTTTTCCTTACCTTCTCTCTCTCCCACATGGAAATACTCAGAAGAGCAGCCGCCTCTCTGCCAGTATCCAACCAACACTTTTAAGCCTCACTGATGCCCACTTGGGGCAGAGGAATATTATGCTACATGGGTTAGTGTTCCCAGTTTAATATCCTCTTGGCACCAACGGTGCTCTCTGCGCAACCTCACTGCCAAACACTAAAAGTATGACTGAGGACTAGCAGCAGCTGTCAAGGACACCAAGGTACACATGAGAGTGATTACTTACCTCTAACTACAAAATGGGATGCAGGAAAAGAAGGGGTTTGTTTTCAAATTCTGGTTCATTCAGCTGAGGGTTGCCTGGGTGAGCGTTCAACAAAAACCATGGCTTTTCCCATGTGTTCCCTTGTACCTACTGCAAATACTAGCAGAAAATAGTCTCTCCTCCCCAAAAACTAAGTGAGCAGAACAGAGGTGCAGTACCAAGTCCATCTGCAGAGTAGATGTTAGTATGAGAAAGCCCTTGGCCACCCCATTAGCCCCACAGTTCTACAGGTCAGAGCTGCATGAGGGACCACGGGATGCTACATCACTCTAGCTCCAGCCTGCACCGTGGGAGCACCCTCAGGGCATGAAGAGATTCATGGCACAGTCCTGTTCCTAGAGACCCAGGTCCTGGCAAGGTATCACACTAAGCCTTGAGAAAACCAAGTATCCTTTGCAATGGAGATTTATCACATGCCTCCACTACATGGAAGAGAAGAAACAGGCAGAGAAGCCAAGCAGATCTAGGGAGGGTGCCAGAACTTCTCTAAACAAAGTGATGCAATGCCAATGAGGACACACTCATCCTATCCACAGTGACTGCTGTTGAAGCAATCCACTTCCACAGCCTAGACAGGATAGTGCCCCCACTACACCACTCCAGTAAAGGGTAGGGCAAGGCAGGAACAGATGGGAGCTACTCCAGCCATACAGTAGGACAGTGGATCATGAACCTGCCAAAAGCTAAGGATGCCCAAGTCTGTGGCACATTTTGTGAGAGTCACTTCACACCTGGGCTGGACAGCAGGTCTAAAAGGAAGCAGTCAGGCAGCAGCTGCTGGCAGCAAAAAGGTCTGCCCAGACTCCAGGTGTGTACTGAGGTTTTGAATCTTGGAGGTTGTTCCACCGACAGATGACTACAGTGCGATTCAGCTCAGAAGGAAGGAGAACAGCTAGAAGGAATGCAGAACAGCTCATGACATGTTCAGCTGCTTTATCATACTTTACAACTTTTTAGCATCAACCTCTTGCCTTCTCAAATAATGAGTGAGGAGAGGGATTTGGTGTTAGTTGGGCTGGAGAAAATTGGAATAGTGGATAGTCAAGGACAATGTAATGCCTTCTCCAAGAGAGCAAAACAAATTGCCTATATATTAAATCTTGAATTTCTCCCATTTGGGCCTTACAGAGTAAGTTTAGTTTCCCTCCCTTTTGATCACAGCAACCCAAGAATAAATACTAAGTCCAAGAAGCAAACATTAAGAGAAACCCTCAAAACTTGAAGCCCAAGGTGGAAAACCACTAGCTTCTCCAGGACTCAAGAAGGATGGGTACCAGCCAGAGAAATGTTGAATCACCTTCACATTATGGGCACTATGAGCAACCAGGTCAATGTTAAGTCACCTTCACATTCACTCTATCACAGCTCAGCCTCCTCGGCTGCATTCAAGAGTTTTCAGCTCTGTTTCCAGCATGCTACAGAAGAAGCAATGCTGGGCACAGGACACTGGTTTCAGGAATGCCTCCAGTATGCAGGGCAGTACCAGCTTCAAGAAACATTGCTTGCTTCAAGCTCTGCCAGCTTCAAAAGGAAGACAAGGAAAGCAGAAGCCACGCACAATGCTACATCCTGGACACATGCTAGGGAACCCTGTCAGTGACGGACATCACAACACCCAAGTAAGAATGAATCACAGGAACAGCAGAGCTGTATTTTGCAGGCATGGATCTAACCTCCTAGGCAAGAAAGACCCTTGGGAGAGCACAGCAGTCCCTCTGCTCCTGAGTCAGGTGCAGGTGATCCTAGGGCAATGCAGCTCCCTGCTGGCCCCGCAGCGAGGCAGAGACACGCAGTAGAACTGTGGGAAGGTCTGGGTTGCCGCTAAACGACTTACACTGCACATCTACTCGAATGGACTTGATGGCAGGGACCCCAACCCCATTTTCTGCTTTACAGTAATAGCGGCCCCCCTGCAGCCTTTGGATCTTCTCAATCCGAAGGGTCTCGTTAAGCACTGACGTCTCTTGGAATTTGTCCGACGCGCTGCCAGCAGTTTTGGTCCATCTCACCTGCGTGGGAAGAACAAGAGAAATTAAATCAGGGACAGAAAACAGAGATCCCAAGATTCAGCACAGCTCCCTTTCTTGCTCTTCCCTAGCTACTTCCATAAAGAGGTCCTACAGCACCGCCAGACTTGCCAAAGCTCACTACTGATCTCACTATGCCTCAGTAGCCCAGCCGCTGATTCTGGTCCACTGCCAATCCCCATACCCAAGTGTCCAGGGGAACCCCTCAATTCACCCAGACACACACTGCATGTTTGCCACTCCTGCTCTGATCCTGCAAACCCAGCAGCTTGCTCAGTTTTATGCCACCATTTGCACAGCACAGGACTTTCAGTGTTCAGCCTTGAGACCCCATGTGGCTGGTAGGCCAGGACACCACAGCAGACATCAGCTCACAGCTACAGAGCTTTTACTGCAGTCCACACTCAACTTTTTCTGAACAGCAAGGCTATTTCTACTTTTTGCTTTTCCATGAGTGAGAAAAGGCAGTTGCTATCTGACTCTTTCCCCTTTCCCACTGGGAACCCCTGTGTATTTTATTTTTTCTAAGTCATCCTTTCACAGCACACACGATTTTCCTCCATTTTTAAAGATACAGAAAAAAAAAGAAAAATAATCCCTTCAGATTTCAAGCCATCTTTTTATTTGTTTGTCCTTATGTTACATGTCTCAAGATCCTGGCTTGAAGGGACAACAAAGCTGCATGATATTTCATGGTGAGTGGTGGCAAGAAGACAGCAATCCCGAGGACTGAGGGGTTTCTCTTTTGTCTGGAATGAGGTACAGCTCTTGCAGTAACAATACAAGCTTCCCCCTTGTTTTGGGCACTCCACACAATGAAAGAGAGAGACAGCTTTTCTCAGCCCATTGGTTTTCTATATCTGCAACCTCCCTTCTAAAGGGTGCTGACTGCTGGCCTTCTACTCTGGGACAATTTGGACTCTGGAACTGAGATCCAGCAAGATCAGCCAGCAGAAAGAAGAGAGACTTTCATTCAGCATTGACCACAGACCAAATACTTTCACCACTCTTCCAGACTTTGACTAAAGCTCACTGCCATCACCTGATTGGTGCTGATGCTCTAGAACGAACAGGACTGTCTACATCCCATCCCAGAGCACCAGGCTGAGCAGATTTTTGGAGCTATTGACCATGGATTTATTCTGCCTTTGTAGGCTTGTGAAATTGTCTGAGGGCTCCAAGACTCTTGGAGTCTCCTGCTTTGAAGAACACTTCAGCCAGCTCTTTAATCTTCTCAATCACAATCTCATTTTAGTATTTTGGCCACATTTGCATGTTTTAATGACTGGCTGATAGAAAAGGAAAGAGAAGATTAAACAGAGGTTAGGATAAGAGCTTAGCTAGGGAAGAAATCAATCCATTAGGAGGGAGTGCAGAAATGGGACGCATGCCACATGTTATATGTGCAGGTTCTAGTCTCCCTGGTCATGCCTGGTTCTAGGTTCTGCCATCCCCTGTGCAGGTCTCGCAATGACAAGCCAGAGTGTTGCTCACTATCACGCTGTCTGCAACAGGCTCTGCTCCAGAAATCTCTCTAGAAACTCAGGCTCAAATCCCTACAATGTGCCAGGACCTTTCCATGCATTCAACAACCTCAGGCAGGGCCACCGCTACCAAATTCCCCATTTCTGATGCACACAGGTATCATTTGCCCGTCAGTGTCACAAGCCTAGGCTGGTTGTTTTTGCTGATTTGGCTCAGGTAATTTTCTTTTTATTGTTTCCAGGATATTCTGATGGAAAAACCATTTCAAATCCTTGCCTTTGTCATCACCTCTGTGCCAAGTAGCTCCTCACAAGCAGGCCCACGGAGGCATTAACTGGCATGAGAAGATGCATGGCTTCTTGCCACAAGTGTCTTTGGCAGGACTGAGGAATGGGGCCAAGGCAGATATCACACGTGGCTCCCCTGAGGGTATTCTGGCACATCCAGCCTCTCAGTGTGCACCAGCTGCCACTCCCAGCACTCTTGTCCCAGAGCTGGCAGAGCCATGCTCTAGGCCAGCACCTCTACAGACACCTCCACACCAACTCTGAACTGCCCAGCTTGAGTATCTGAAGGGTGCTGAGGTGGCTGCATGGGCCTGAGGCTGTGCAAACCTCTGGGCACCCAAGCAAGGACTGCAATCATCAGCCAAGCTCAGCTTTGTGCCTCCCCACTGGGCTGTGTCTCTGATCACAGCACGGATGTGTCCTGTGCTGCAGGTCTGGCTCTGCCTCTGCTTGGTTGTCTCAAAGCAATGAACAGCAGGTTCTGTGTGGGGCTCAGTGAGGTGCACTACCAACAGCTTCCTGAAGCAGCATCCCCTTGGCTGTACATCCAGGGAAGCTGAGAAATGGACAGACCATGAAGGACCCACTCCTAAGGTTAGCACATATGGGAAGCACCTTCCAAGATGTTCCTACTTTGTATAAGAGGGTTAAAGATTTGAGATTTCAGTTTGGGCTTCAGGTTTTTGGAGAGACTTCACATACTGAAGACAAGTAGAAGGTTTTTGTAAGCTTCTGCCAAGCTTTGTGGACTGTTTCCCATGAAAGCAAGCTTAAATGCTTCACAGCTTAACAAGCTAAGTGCTTGCAAAATGGGGCATCCCTTCCCAAGTCCAATGTGTCGGAGGAAGCTGGACACCTCACTGCCCACAGTTCTCCTCTCTGTGGAGACTACAAACAAGTACCATGGGGTGGCATGGCTGAGAGGCAAGACTGAAGGCTTACCTGTGGCCGGGGGTGTCCTGTGACCAGGCACTGCAGGACCAGCGTGTCCCCCTCACGAATTGTGTAAACGCGTTCACTGATGTTGTCTTCCTTCACCACGCATGCTTGCCCAGCATGGATGATTTGGGCCTGAGCAGGAGCTGTAGAAAGGAAAGAAGAGGTAAAGATGGAAATGAGCAGAGCCCATTTCCTGATGCCCACTGCCCAGGGTGGCTGCCCCCACCTCATAAGTCACAGAGGGGAAGAGCCAGGAAGTTCTGGGAATGAATCATGGAGCTCTTAGGAGATATACTATTAAGCAATTTTCCCCATTTCCTGAGTGACCGATATCAACTACTATTTTAAAACCATTGCTTCAGTAGGGATGAGCAGCTCTAGACACTAAAAAGCAGAATATGGCCCTTTTTTGGGGTGGACCCTCCTGTATAGGTTGAGAACTAAAAATTTCCTGCTGTCGTCTCTCCTGGAAAGGAGGATGTGCAAGCAGCTGTAGCAGGGACCTGGTCAAATCACAACTGCTCCATGTCTGTCTAAAATAAGGCTGATTACTATGATTTACCTTGCAGGGGGCTGGGATAACTACTGAGCAGAGTAAGAAAGGGCCCTGAAGCTCTGTATAGCTATTAGCACATATCCCTAGAACAGGCATAGCAAACACTGCAGGAAAAACAAGTCTTTCCCATATTAAATAGCAGCCTGTCTCAGCCCTGAGCCAGAGGAAACAGCCTCTGCAGGACCAGAGGACCCCATAATCTGTAGAGATTTCTCCACCTACAGCTGCTAATGGAGACCAATTACTGCCAGTCCAGACAGGAAAATGGGTGAAGACCAGTGCAGTGGAAAAGTACACAGACAGAAAGTTCCCAAAACAAAGTTATAAAATGCCCAACGACTCCAAACAGCAGCTACATCCCCCAACAGCCCTGATGAGAAGCAGAAAGAGATGAGCTCTAGTAGAACAGGATTTTATAAAGAAAAAAGCCTCAGCTCTGAAATTCTGTGCAAACAGCCTTTGGCTCCCTACTCCAAAGCGTTTGTGTGATCAGAGAAGTGGCTGAGCTGCACTGAAGGTGACTGCACAGCCCAGCTGCACACCTGCGCTTGTTTGAAGGGGAAACTCCAGTTGCACTTCAAGATACAGAGAAACCCACAAACATGTCTAAGAGCTGGTGTCTCACTGACAGTCCCCTGGGATACTTACCCAGCTCGCAAGAATGCTTTCAGGTGACTCTGGAGTCACAGCTCTAGCACCCATTAGTGAAATACAACAAAAACGAACAAACCACAGAGGAGATGATCAAAGTGCTTAAAGCAATGAGCCTTAGAGAGCCTTCCTAAGCAAGAATGAATTTTGCACAACCTGTTAAAGCCAAACCAAGCACCCACTTTTTCCTGAAGGTTAGTTGAGCTTCAAAGACTGCCTTTTTAAAAAGTATTTTCATTCCCTTGGCGTGACCAGAATGCTCTAGACCAAATCACCTGGGCAAGAGAAGTGCTCAGGTTTTTGCTGGTTTAATCCACCAGCAGTACAGGCAGCAGGACAGGCTGGGCTCAGGCAGTGGAAAAGATCCGCCTTTGAGATCAGCCTTTATAAACTGGTGTCACCAAATGCACTGACCAAGCTGCAGGGACACAAGAGTGGACACAGGGCGAGTGGGAAACTGCCCTTGCTGCTGGGGCTTTACTGCCTGCCATGGCCACCCAACATCCAGGCAGCAGCACTGCACATACAACAAGCTCATCCCTCATTTTCCATCTCTTCCATCTTTCCAGCATGGTGGCACTTTTTAAAAATTATTATTACTCTCCAAATTGCTGACAAACAGAAGCAACATGTCCATTTGAAGAATACAATGGCACAAACATGGACAAATCCCTCAGCCTCTACTGTCTTCTCCTTCTGCAGGCCTCCCAAGATGCCTGTCATCACTGAGGCATCATGGAATGCCAAAACTGACTGATAAAACTTCACTGATACAACTGAGCAGATGAGTGACCTTCCCCTGCCTGGATGGCAGAGAGTCCTGTTGAACCCAGAGGAAAGCACAAACCTGTATATGTGCTTACACTCAAACATGTGTGGACATACATGCAGATATGTAAATACATTAATTAAAATAGGGGTTTATCAGGAAAAGACATCATGAATGCTTCTCAAGCCAGCAGTCACAGGGGAGAAATTCAGAAGCCTACATAACCTTTGCTAATACACCTTAATCCAAATGACAGCCTCTTGTGCTGCTTCAGCCCTCAGATCAGTTTTCTGCAGATCTGCCATAACACCTTTAGCCCCAGTTTACTGCAAAGCACTCCTTACAGGGCTGAGACACAGGCTGTGATGCTGACTGATCTCTGCTGATTAAAAGAGAGACTCTGTCCCTTCCCATCCTATGGCACATTCCCCCAGTCCCCAAACTGTGCTGCCTGCATTTCAGCAGGGTCCTGGCACCCTGAAGCAGCAAAGCTCTGGTAGCCTCTCTTGACAGTCTCTGGGCTGCATTTGCCAGCTGGTGGCTCTATTCTCCCTTTGCAAACATGACTTTGCTGTAAAAACTAATTTCCAGACACCCCATGGACAATCAGAATATTTATCTGCAGTTCTATCTCCTATTTAAATGTTGCTCTTAAGTTGCTCTGCTGTATCCCACATGGTATACAAAGTAAGCATTGCAACTTTCACTCTTCCCTTTGTCTATTCCACTTTTACTATTTCACTGTGTTGTGTAACCCTTCTCTATCACTTGTCCAGTGGCACTTCCACATGGGGAACTTCCATAACAAAATCATTAGGTAGAGTGGAACAGGATTAGAAGGCTTTTGTGCAACTATCCTCTGCCAATATACCTTGGTGTGATTTGCTGGCATATCCCTGAGTTTGAGAGGAACATTATTTAAACTAATCCTTGTAAGGCACTAGACTGCAATAAAACAACAGCCCTGGGGATAAGCCATGGGTCATCATTTGGTCATTTGGTCCTCTTCTCCCAAATTCTCCCTGGATACACTGAGCTGTAATGAAGCTGACAAGCAAGGCTACACACACCTGGCTTTGTTTGCAGGTGTCTGAACTTCCTTGTTTCACCATCCCTAACACCTTTCAGCTAAATCATTGGAAAGGGACATCAAGGGAACCTCCACTGCTTCAGCTGTAACATTTCTCTGGCAATAACAGCACCAGGTCCTCAGAGCAATCACCATTTTGTCATGTCCTAAACCCCATGTGAACCCACATCTCTCAAAAGGGAACTGAGAAAGCTTGGGGCTGTCTTGGAATGAAAAGCACTCAGGTAGATGGCACAGGAGCCTGAGACACTGCCTCTGGTTTGGTTATAAATTGACATTAGTAGGTGGGGGCTGAGCAATGAATGAACCCAGCTCTTTGGGGACTGCATTAAGATGGACTCAGGAAGGTCTCTGTTCCAAGCTCAGCCTGCCACAGCACACAAAGGCTGGGAAAGTCACCTTATGCTGTCTTACAGAGGGGCATAGAGAATGCAAGGATTAATTGCACTTTCAGTGTGCTTGAACAGCAAGAATACATTATTGTTTGACATCATCCCATGTCTCCTGGAGGATTCCAGCATGCAGACAGCTTGCCCACTGCCAGCACAACAGGATGGCAGGACCATGCCTGTCAGAGGAACAGTTCCACAGAAGGCCTTTAGGAAGAAAAAGAAAGGCTGGAGATGAAGGAGTAACCACAGCCATTCTCTTGAACAGAGTCAACCTCCCCTGCTGAGTCCTTCTGGGGCAGAATCCTTCACCTCAGGCCAGTCAACCCCAAAGAAGAGGTCCAAGGAAGAGCTCTGATGGCCTCTATGGGGGAAGAAGGGACAGATTGTTCCCAGAAATTTTGTGGGACAGAGGTATCATCACTTTTATTCAGCCTTCAGGTAAGAGATCAACTTAGAGAAGGTTCTCAATACAAAGACCTCTAGAGAAACTAGGCCAGCCACATATTGAGTGTCAGATGCTTTAGAAGGGAGAAAAAAATCAGACTGTGAACATGCAGCATTAGGCCCTTGCTCATAGAATGGCTGACCTGTAATGCATTTGGCCTCTGCATCTAGATTTCCTACTATGCTTTCACTTGATATATTTACACATTAAAACAAAAGGAAATTGAAGTGGATAAAATAACTTTATTCCCAGTGCAGTGTACTGTACAATGTTATTATTACCATAACCTCGAAATTTTATGAGACTCTTGGTGCTTAGAGGTTGCTAATACCATGAAAATGTAGAAAAGGAGAGAGAAATGGTCTTTTGGAGAGGACTGAGTCATCTGTATTTGGTTTACAGGTCTATCCATCCATCTTATTGAACCTCAGATCTCATCAGTAAAATGACAATGATGAGAGCTCCTTCAGAGAAAGGATGGTGAGTGACAGACACTGCACTGACACTCCCTCAGTCACTGTCAGCACCCACAGGGGCAGCTCCTCCCCTGTTTGCCAGCACAGCACCTACTGCACTTCCCTGCTGCCTTCCCAGCACTCCAACAGCAGCCACCATGCTTGACTCTGTCCCACCACTACCCCTGCCATCTGCACGTCCTGTGACTGCCTCAAGGAGGGAGAGCATTTATCTCCAAAGCTGCTGGGCCAATACCTGCAGCTGAATGCACAGGGGCACTGAATCCACCCACCTCTGCTACCCTCCTTCTCCAGACTGGGGAGAGAGGGAAGCTGCACCTAGAGCTTTCCTCTTCCTCAGCCTGAACCTACCACTCTGCTTTGCAAGACAAGAAATGATCTTCCATGCATCTGGTGCAGATATCATTCAGCCTCTCCTGCACATAGCCTAGGCAAAGAAGCCAGGTCCTTCCCATTCCTGTTCACAAGCTGCCCAGAATCACACTGCTTAGTTACCCTGAAAAGAGGAGAGCATCAGTTGCTAATCTGCACCTCAAACCACTCAAGAGCCTGTCTGTCTCCTTTCCTCACCTTTCCCATCCCGAGCAAGTGGCATGTAACAGATGCATCCTGAAGGGAGTTCCCAGAAATGGGAAAACACACGGTGTTTATAGACCACGGTGGGGTTGAATAAGTATTTCGCTAAGGAAATCCACATGTGGAATTTCTTGCTGAAGCGACACTGTCAGTGACTGCCTCTCCAGGAACTGGCCTGCAGCACTGTTAGTCCCAGACCATGGCACAGCACCCTTCCAGCTCAGGCCTGGAAGTTGCTGCTGGAGGTAATGTTTTATCCCTTCTGCTCAGCAATGC